AGCAGTTTTTAAAAATGAATATATATTTTTTGGAAAAAAAAATATACCGATTAAAAAAAAAAAAAAAAAATATATATATATATATATATATATATATATATATACCCCCATTTTTTTGAAAAATATGAAAGTGGATGTTACGGCGAGTAAATAGATACCCAACATGTCACGCTTTAAAATTGCGCACGCTCGTTGAAAAAAAAATCTCCATGGGTGATGGTTTGAAAGGTTCTACAGGTTAGCAGTGTAAAGTTACAGAGGAGGTCTAGTGCTAGAATTATTGCTCTTGCGCTGACGTTCGTGGCAATATACCTTACATGTGTGGTTTGAACACCATTTACATATGTGGGCATGGCCTACGTATGTGTTCACCACTACATGCAAGCACAGGGGGACGGGGGCACTTTAAACTTTTAAAAAAAAAAATTATGTTTTTTTTTTCTTTGCACTGTTCCTTTTAAAAAAATTTTAATCACTTTTAATCTTATCACAAGAAATGCATGCATCCCTTGCGATAGAAAGAATTAGTGGCAGGTCTTATTTATGGAGAGATATGGGGTCAATAAGACCCCACATCTCTTCTCTGCAATGTAAAGCATTGGATCAAAAAAAAAAAAAAAAAAAAAAAGTCGGAACAGGAAGTGACATCGCTGCGGTCCTCCAAGGGCATAGAGAGTGGCAGCTATCTTTCCTTCACTCATCTCTATGCCCAGCGCTGGGATAGATGGTTTCTCAGGTAAGGCTGAGAACTAGCAAGCTGCACCTATATCGGTGCTTTTTTCATTTCGGCCAATGGCCGAAATGTTACGGCCGAAATGTTACGGCCACCGAAATTTCGGTGCATCCCTATCTGACAGGCAGTGGTAGCTGTAGTGCAGGGCCCCAACGTTGACCCTTTAACCCTCTATAGTGCATATATGGAGTGTACACCGTGTTCCAAATTATTATGCAAAATTATATTTTTCTCATTTACCTAAATAATTGGTGTAAATAACAGTCAGCATAATTCTCATGTTATCAGCTATTAAGAGTACATAAAAAACTTACAATGCACTGTTCCAAATTATTATGCACGGTAAGTTTCAAAACACTTTATAGGTAGTAAAGAACTGAAAATTGGCATTTGTTGTGTTTGCAGCATATTTACTGAAATCAAAAGCTATTTCGATCAAACTTTTAACAACATTTGAACTTTTTAAACATTTTAACAGGTCACGTTACATTTTAACATAGGACCCCTTATTTGATAGCAGCTTCACAAGTCTTGCATCCATTGAACTTGTGAGTTTTTGAACAGTTTCTGCTTGAATTTGTTTGCAAGATGTCAGAATAGCCTCCCAGAGCTGCTGTTTGGATGTAAACTGCCTCCCACCCTCATAGATCTTTTGCTTGAGGATGCTCCAAAGGTTCTCAATAGGACCGAGGTCAGGGGAGGATGGAGGCCACACCAAGACTTTCTCTCATTTTATCCCCATAGCAGCCATTGATGCAGAGGTATTCTTTGCAGTATGAGATGGTGCATTGTCATGCATGAAGATGATTTTATTACGGAAAGCATAGTTCTTCCTTCTGTACCAGGGAAGAAAGTGGTCAGTGATAAACTCCACATACTTTGCAGAGGTCATATTTACACCTTCGGGGACCCTAAAGAGGCCAACCAGCTCTGTTCCCATGATTCCGGACCAAAACATGACTCCATCACCGCCTTGCTGACGTCACAGCCTTGTTGGAACAGGGTGGCCGTCCACCAACCATCCACTACTCCATCCATCTGGACCATCCAGGGTTGCACGGCACTCATCAGTGAACAGGACTGTTTGAAAATTATTCCATGTATTTTTCTGCCCAATGCAGCTGTTTCTGCTTGTGAGAATTGGTTATTGGTGGCCGAATAGAAGGTTTATGCACAGTTGCAAGACTCTGGAGGACTCTACACCTTGATATCCGTGGGACTCCAGAGGCACCAGCAGCTTCAAATATCTGTTTGCTGCTATGTAATGGTATTTTAGCAGCTGCTTTCTTGATCCGATGCATGGAACTGGCAGAAATCTTCCTCAATGTGCCTTTATCTGCACGAACCCGTCTGTACTCTGAATCAGCCACAAATCTCTTAATAGTGCGATGATCACGCTTAAGTTTTCGTGAAATATCTAATGTTTTCATACCTCGTCCAAGGCATTGAACTATTTCACTCTTTTCAGCAGCAGAGAGATCCTTTTTCTTCCCCATATTGCTTGAAAATGGTGCTCTGCTTAATAATGTGGAACACCCTCCTTTAGTAGTTTTTCCTTAAATTGGGCTCACCGGCCAATCTAATTATCACAGTTGTCCGAGATTGTTTTCAGTGATCAAAAGAGCATTGACACACAATGCCATCCATGAGTTAAACTGAAAAACAAAATATTTAATCTTTGTGACACTTAAATATAATTTGCATAATAATTTGGAACGCGGTGTATGATCAGCTTCGATAGTCATATCAAAGAAGGATTAAATCCAGCGAATCACCATGGGACACTGCAATTGCTGTATTATTCTGGTCTGAAATAAGAACAGTTAAAATACTGACAATGTTAAGAAAGAGAAGAAATATTATGGCTACAAAACATCAAAGTCAATTTCCACATAAATGACAGAAACGTCAAAGAGAAAAATGAACTCACACCACCAGTGACACCATAAAAAAAGCTCTCCCGATATCATTAGAGCATTAATTGCTCTGCATACATGACCGAATCAATCTTAGAAGAGATAAGATGCTTTGTAGACACATCAGCACAAAGGTGCTCTGTCTCTAGAGGTCAACTTCAGAATATTTATGAGTCATTTCAATACTGTGAACGGAAACCAAGAAGACAGTGTGATCAGTCATAGACTCTACACCAGAAGACAAGTCCCACATATTGTTTACTCACTAATAGACAAGGAGGTGTATGAGACTAGGAGGAAAAAAAAAAAAAAAGAAAATTTCCAAGAGTGCATCACACCAACGTACAGAAGGCAAGGGGTATTACTCACAAACCTTTATCTACAATGTAGGGTTCAAGACCTGGAATTCTGTTCTTTTAATTATACGGATCCTCTCTAACAACTAAATTTTAGTACCATTTTGAACCCCTCCAAGTATACACAACATTTTGTGTGTGCCCCCTACCTGGAACTGCAAAATCACATATACATACATTATTTTGCGCACCCGTGCCACCCTGTAGCGGTATTTCTGCTATTGGGTGGCGCAGAGGCGGTTAAATATGTGCTCCAACTCTGGAGATGCTCAAAATTATAGAGTTAGGACTGCAGTATACTGAGGTGCTGTGACATGACCGCTGCAGCTTACACATATATGTGCAAATGTGTGTGCAAACTAAAATCCCTGGTTTTAACGTGAACTGTTAGACATGGTTAATTTGGTTTGTTGCAGGCTGGCTGGTAAGTGAGCTGGGAATTTTTGTTTTTTGCCATGCGTCACACTTCCATGTGCTCCTTGCTACAGAGGCCAGGAATAGCTTAGGGTGGTTGCCATTTGTTTGTTCTGTATTTTCTCCTATCATTACCAGCATTCAAGTCATGATGAAGGGAACTGTAAGCCCTCAAAATGTGTTGGCTTTACCTACGGATCATTTGTTATGAATAATACATTAATAATTGATTTAATAAATACTTAATCCCTTCCCACCACCATCTCCTGGCCATTTAAGAGGTTATAAATGCCAGGAGACGGAGGCGGGCATTCCGAACATGTGACTACTGGGATTGGCCGTTACAGCGTTCACATGACTGAAAAGCTCCCAATCACAAGTATGTATCAGGAGCTTTCTGGTCCCCACCAGAAACTGGGTTGGGAGTGGGCAGGAAGTGCGCTCTCAGCACAGAAAACTGCATATATGTGGCCTCTCAGTGTTAAAGCCCACCCGCCAAGACGGTGCATATATGTATAACTCCTGTATGAAGAGGTTAAAGTGCTCTCATCCTCTACACCTTTGTTATCCTTTAATTCCATTCACAAGCAATGTTCTGGAATCCTAGGATTCCTTCGGATGTTGCTAGAGGTTCCTGCGGCTGATTGACCTCCATTTGATGGTCCTGCATAGTTCCTGGTGCAGAGCCAGCTGTATGACACCGGTCATCTCTCATCTTTCTTGAAGGTTTACATTCTGACCACCACTGTAAGGGTTGCATTCTTCCAACCAAAGTAAGGGGCATTTTCCTCATTGACTGCAGGAAAATGGTTTTAGTACGGGTGCCTCAAGACCTGAAAATTATTTTAGAAATTCCTGTGGGTTAAAAAGGCTGACAATAGCTTCTTTAACTCTTGGACTAAATCCTAATTCCATGGCAGTGAGGATCATCAGCTCAGATCAGTGCACCAGAATGATTACACATCCCATGAGTCTATTACACCACCTGAACTTCCTCACACTGGTATTTTGCTTTGGGACATATTAATTTCAAAGTAAACATTTCATGACAAAAAATGGTAGCTGCACAGAAAAACTGAAATATTGCAGCCCCGATACCACCCCAAAATCCTGTTCAAAGGTAAGCAGCTAAAGACCAATGTCCTCTGTGTAAGAGCAGTAACCTATCTTCAGAAGTCTTAAAGTGTTACTAAACCCACAACAGTAAAATCAGTCTGTATATGCCGTAAAGCATGCGTGTTATACTAAATGTGGAACCCAAGGGGTTAATCCTCCGCATTATGTAAAAAGGGCTGTTTGATCCTGTCTTCTCTGATCTTTCCCTTCTTTTACTCTCCCAAATCCATCTGCTGATAGTACAGAGCACTAGGAGAACCTATGCACATGCTGAGTTTGGTGTGTGTTGCTAGAGTTTGGGTTTTTTTTTTTTATGAGGGTGCATGTGATTGGCACAGGGCTTCAGGGTCATGCAACCTCATAGGACAGTTAGAGGATAATGAAAATTCCTCCTACAAGATTAATCAGTGCTAAGCAGGACACTGATAGAAGTCACAAGATTGTAATATACGGATGATGAGAAACGCTATATAGCAGCTTATATTTATTAAAATAATTGCATTTCCATGTTGTGTGTACTGTGAGAGACCGGATATAGTGAATGCAGGGTCCGGGGTTTAGTAACACTTTAAGAGCTGTGGTGCTCCGATCTGATCAGTCCAGTAGTACCCCTAAAAGATAATGTCCAGTCCATCAAGTCCAGCACCACCTCACTACTGTTCATGGATGATGGCTATTCACCCCAGTCCCCAGCAACAAGTAGTCCAAGCAGAGATGGGGGAAACGATGGCAGTCAGTACCCACAACAATCTCACCTGCCAAAGTAAACTTCAGCTCTGAAGAAAACTGCATCAAACGACCAACGTCTGTGCAGCAGGGATGGACACACACTAATGAAAATTTCAGTCAATTTTAATCCATCTATGGGCAGCTTAATTTAACTCTGCAGTCATAAATACTGCAATGGCTGTCACTGTGCAGGAGGCATGCTCGTTGATTATTGCTAGCAGCTACTATAGTCACTAGCAGTAATCACTGTGTTCAAAAAAAAACAATAGCTCCGCAGAAGGGATTCCCCCTATTACACTGTGATGGCAGGAAAGAAAATCGCATCATCTGTGGTCTACCTAAAATCAGCCATAGACCGAGCGATTTTCTTTCCTGCAACCACAGGTTGCAGTAAAAAAACATGGTTGCAGGAAAGAAAAATGACTTGATTCCCCCATCAACACAGTCAGCGTTCATGGGTGAATCCCTCTCCTAGAGCTACTGTTCTCCCGGTGTCAGCGTGTGGGGAGCTGTACCTGCCAGGAGATCACGGTTAGTGACTATAGGAGTTGGCAACGATCGCATGTAAAAATCCAACCTTCTGACTGCACCCAAATAGATCGCTGGATCAACTTGGGTACAATCAGTTTACCCATACATGATTTGAATCTCGGCTGGTCCTTGCTGAAGCAGCCGAGATTCGAACCGTCTATGGCCGACTTTACACAGAGAAGATTGATCTTCAGACTACTACCAGGAAAGGGGATTTTTTTTTTAAAATATTGTTTTATGCTGCCTCATTTTTTTGTAACCTGTAATAAACAAATTATAACATAATTACCAGCAATTTTTTAACCACAAAAATTTATAGGAGACCAATACGGAGGAAAAAAGAAAAATTATATATATATATATATATAATAAAAATAATATACACATACACTATATAACTATAATCGTTAAACTCCAATGAAGGGCTGGCTCACACCATGTACATTGAGCTTCACTGATCTGCACAGGTCAAAGCAAGGGAGGAGGCAAGAATGATAAGGATAAGATGTTTCAAAGTGCACTTATCCTTTAAATCTAAGATACAAAGGTTTAGCTGAAAATCTACTCTAACAGCTACTGGACAAATCAAACAATTCCCAGGAAATGTTTTCTCCTTTCTTTCATGAGTTCTCACCTTTCTATCAGCAATCAAGGATCATAACAAAGTACCAAGTCAGCAGCTATATAAATGATGTCTTCCTTTACCTCTTGGGCCAATACCACTTTGATGGCAGAGAAGCCTAGCACAACGCAACACACCAGAACCCACCTCAACAAGGAGTTATGATGTGAACCATTGTTTTCCATGTACCCACCATAATTTTGCAAAGAAGTGGGTTGTGGTGTGTAAAAATGCAGCATTTTTTATACATTACACCGCAGGTGCTCTAAGTATCATTTTGTGACACTTTAATAAAGTTGGAGAAAAGTAATACATTGTAACAACACATTGCACTGCACCTACATAGCATACACCAGTGCACATACATTTTAACATGCAGACTGATGAAGAGGATCCCTAATAACCCAGCTGTCTTCATTGTTATTACTTTCTTCATGATTGGCCCAGGCACATGCATGTAGAATATATAGTCAGAATGCCTGATCTGCATACAAGTTCCATGTCAGAGCCTCTGAAAAGCATTAAAGCAGTTAGATTAGCACAGCTGTCAGGCAACTAGCATTCTATGAAGGAAAGGTCAGTAATGGCAATCTTCCTTTTCTTTTAGAGTTGGTTCACACCAGATTCAGTCCAGTGCATTTTTAATCTTCATCAAAAATGCATGCACAGTGTTTTCCATGTATTCCAATGGCCCTAGTTCACACCAGTGCAGTGCGTTCTAGAGCAATAAAAAGTAGAATACATCTGGAACACAGCAAAAAGCATCAAAAATGCAACAGAGCACATATGTCCTAAAATGAGATGAAGAAAGAAAAAAAAAAAAAAAAAAGAAAAATAATGAATCAAAAACGCATCATAAATGCATCAAATATCTCTGAAACGCATCAAAAACATACATGTAGAAAGGCATCCGGAATGTAAAAATTGTGGTGTGAACCTGCCCTTAATACTGGTTTCCTAGAACGGCTCATTTAGAGTTGTACACCTGCGCTGCTCCTCTTCTTCAATGGATTACACAGGAATGCAACAGCAACTTAGAAGCAGCTCAGAGGCATATCATAGCAATTCCGAAGTCAATGATCCCACTCAAATACAATGCACGTCTTTCAGATGTAGTCTGTAGTACTATGCACGGGCGGACTGACAACTCATGGGGCCCCCGGGCAATAGGGGATCATGGGGCCCCTGTGTCCTTGCCCAAACTCAATAAAGCCTATGAAAAAAAGGTACCAGGGGCATCTCATGGGGCCCCCTACTGACCCTGGGGCCCTCGGGCAGTTCCCGAGTTTCCAAATGGTCAGACCGCCCCTGGTACTATGTAAGGATAAGATAGTGAAAGACTCACTGGCTTAGTGCTTGCCACTTATGCCTTGCAGCACTGGGGTCTTTGATTTGAATCCTATCAAGGATGCGGTCTCCATGGAGTTTGCATGTTGTTCACATGGGTTTTCTTCCACGTAGAGATGAGCTTTAGCATCCTTAGGTCCAATCAGCTGCAGGTCGGGTCATACCCCACCCATCAGCACATGTAAACAAAGGGGCAGGATGCTGGTGACCACAGTGCCCTTATATGGACACATGTCTACACTGAGCCAATGGCATTGGTCCATAGAAGAGCATTAATGTCACCAGAATCCTGCCCCTTTGTTTACATGTGTTGTTGGGAGGAGAATTATTATTATTATACAGGATTTATATAGCGCCAAAACTTTGCTCAGCGCTTTACAATATAAAGAGAGACAATAGAGTTCAATACAAGAGGTTTAGAAGGGCCCTGCTCCTTGGAGCTTCCAATCTAGGATGACCTGGCCTGCAGCTGACTGGACCTAAAAAGAATGCAAAGTGGAAGTGTGGTGGATAGAGCTGACTTTGGAGGATGCCCAAGCTCATCTCTACTATAACAAAAAAAACAAAGAAAAAAAAAAAAAAAAAAAGACAACATGGAGGTTCCGAGGACACTGGGGTGCATCCCTGATTACCAACTCAACTGACATGGTGGAGGATTCATTGGTTCCTGTCTAGTTTGGCCTAAAGCCTAGTACACAGTACACACGATCAGAAAATTGTGTGGAAAATACCGCTTTCGAAGCGATCGTACAATAATCTAATTGTTAGTACACAGCTTTCATTCGAAATCATAAGGGACAAGCACGGAATCAGATCATACGGTTTTCGATTACTCAGTACAGTTTCTGCTTGAAAATACAATACAGTACATCACTTTAGAACTTGTATTCTATCATACAACATTATAACTTTAGAAACTTCTTCAATTTCGATACAAGAATGGCATGCAAAAAACAAACAAAAAACCACGAAATAAAAAATGGAGGATCATTCGTCCAATATTCTCATCGTGTGTGCTTTAGTGTGTGTGATATTCTCATCATGTGTGTGCTTTAGTGTGTGTGTGATATTCTCATCATGTGTGTGCTTTAGTGTGTGTGATATTCTCATCATGTGTGTGCTTTAGTGTGTGTGATATTCTCATCGTGTGTGGGGCTTTAGTGTGTGTGATATTCTCATCATGTGTGTGCTTTAGTGTGTGTGATATTCTCATCGTGTGTGGGGCTTTAGTGTGTGTGATATTCTCATCATGTGTGTGTGATATTCTCATCATGTGTGTGCTTTAGTGTGTGTGATATTCTCATCATGTGTGTGGGGCATTAGTGTGTGTGATATTCTCATCATGTGTGTGTGATATTCTCATCATGTGTGTGCTTTAGTGTGTGTGATATTCTCATCATGTGTGTGCTTTAGCGTGTGTGATATTCTCATCATGTGTGTGCTTTAGCATGTGTGATATTCTCATCATGTGTATGGGGCTTTAGTTTGTGTGATATTCTCATCATGTGTGTGCTTTAGCGTGTGTGATATTCTCATCATGTGTATGGGGCTTTAGTGTGTGTGATATTCTCATCATGTGTATGGGGCTTTAGTGTGTGTGATATTCTCATCATGTGTGTGGGGCTTTAGCGTGTGTGATATTCTCATCATGTGTGTGCTTTAGCGTGTGTGATATTCTCATCATGTGTGTGGGGCTTTAGTGTGTGTGATATTCTCATCGTGTGTGTGATATTCTCATCATGTGTTTGCTTTAGTGTGTGTGTGATATTCTCATCATGTGTGTGCTTTAGCGTGTGTGATATTCTCATCATGTGTGTGCTTTAGCGTGTGTGATATTCTCATCATGTGTGTGGGGCTTTAGTGTGTGTGATATTCTCATCGTGTGTGCTTTAGTGTAGTGTGTGTGTACAAATTGGCTGTGCACATGTGGCGGTCCCAAGCCTGAGCAATTGGCGGTCGGGGAAAGACCTGGCGACCGATATCATAGAAATTTCACCAACATTCTATGGAGAAGGTTTTCAACACATCAGGCATGGTGCCCGTAAAACAGCCAACTGAACAGATCTGTAAATACAAAAGTGACAGAATAATAAATGTTTCCATCCATCACCTGACACCTCATTCTAATTCCCACCACTAACAGAACTCTCTACATCCCTGTCATCTGATGTCCCTGCCGCTCACAAATAATCACTTTCCATAGAATGAACACTGCAACTCGGATTTCCTGAGAAAAAAATACATCTATGAAAACATGGCGGTCATAGCGCAGTGATCTGGATAAAGGGACGATATTTACATCTGTGTCATACAG